AAAATGAAGAACCGTTCGTTCAGTATTGTACCGTAAGTTTGCTATTAACTAGTTAAGAGAAAGCGAAGCTAACTTCGGCGTCGTGTCCGCTGTAGCTGAGTCGTTTTCCACTCATAAATGATAAAACAGCAAGTGTCGACAAATTTCTGCAGCACAACTTAAGTTTATATTTAAGGATACAATTCCAGGTTGCCCGTTTCACTGCTTGCTTCTCCGCCTGTCGCCGCCATCTTGGTTGACCAAAACACGCGTCTTCTTCGTGTGATAAAACAGAGACGATGACTGAGGCGCCGCTGCCCCCTGGCGGCGGAGTGTGATCTTAGCACAGGTGTGTCTGGTGGCAATGGATCCACAGCTGTGGCCGAACATGACTGACCAGAAGTAGGTCAGGTTCAGGTCGTCAGTTCCACTTGCTGCTCCGTTGGTCTGAGCTCTTTCACTATTATATTCTTAGATCAATGGACTCTTAAGTAGGTTACTGGTTTTTATTAATGCAACTGTTAAAAAACTGTCAAAACTCAACAAGTTACATTGAATAATAAGTTTAATTTGACTGTACATCCTGTGGTGTGCACAATAACAATTCTTGAATATTTTAATATTCTCAATAAAACACCGTTTAAGGCCATATCTTAGTATTTCAATCCGATTTACGCACATGAACGTCATGCCTGGACGTTTTAAATCAAATAAACGTAAAAACAAAGGTCATCCACAGATATTCTTCTCCATATTCTGAATGCGACATCCAGACTTTCAACATAAACCTTTTTTCTTTCTTTATGACTTTTATTTTGTAGCAGTGCTGTCAAACTCAGCTGTGCGCATCTGCGCGTCGCTCTTCCATCCTCCGAACCGCTGAAGCTGACTCTGTTGTCCGTGTCCCTACATCGTCTGTGCGTGTTCGTTTCGGAATAGCTTTATCAATAAGTCGTCAATTAATTTATCTTTCCGCTCAGAAACTACAGAACCAGATGGAGTTAGAGCCGACAGCGAGAGAGAACTGTCTCTCCGTCCCCGCCTGGACTCCAGCAGCGTTTTAATGGTCAGTGCATCTGAAGAGACTTAGTTAACTCACTCTAGGCTATTTTCAATTTGGCCACAATAGACTATTTTTAAATTAATGAGTAGCCTATTTATTTAATAACTAGGGTAGGGTCTTGATAAACTGGCTAACAGTCGATATCGCAATCAGAATTACATCCATTTTATTATTATGTTATATGGCCTACTTAGGCTGTTAAAACATTACTGTGTGTATCTCTTTTGGACACACACAAGCAGTGCAACAGTTGTAACATACAGGGCAATATTGTGTCTTGTTTCCCAGCTTGGTCGATGCATGCCTACATGGCTGGGAGCACCGGCGGGACCCTGCGGGACCTGCAGCTGGCCCTGCAGCTGAAAATCGAAGAGCTCCGACAGAGAGACGCTCTCATTGGCATTGATGAGCTGGAGCTGGAGCTGGACACGAAGGACGATCTGATCAGACAGCTGCAGACAGAGCTGGACAGGCACCGCAGCGCCTCGCAGCACGCAGCCAGCTCTGGAGAGACGGCGAACCCAGGTGTGACACAGCGAGTGCCCCACCTGCCAGTCCAGGTGGACTCACTATTGACAAGGCCACAGAGGTCCCACAAGGTCCCACAAGCCAGAGCAGGGCCACAGGATGTCAGAGGGGTGGAGGGTGTTGAATTGGTCTATATTTTTACTTAACTGAAAAAACAAATAGAAACATGAGTGACCCCAGTGGCTTTAACAGCATTAAAGTAATGATTGGGTGTGAACAGACTGTGCAAGGCCACACACATCACAAGTCTCACACCTTTGGCGTGAAACCTCTGCTTTCAGACACTCACACTGACCAAACAAAGGTAGAACCGACTCATTTTAATAATTCAATAATAAATCAACATGTGTGTCTTCAGTTCTCTCAAATGACAAATCTGTTTCTGGATCCCCAGTGAAATAATGAAACAATGGGGGTCAACGGGGCCCAGTGACAAAGTTTAGCTCTGGGGCCCCTCAGCAGGTTCATTCATCCATGATCACAGTAATTATTCATGGCACATCAGGTGGATTATTATATTGTATTTTCATAGTAAACACAGTAATATTTGTGGTAGAAGTTTACCTTCAGTGCTTTTAATGAAACCACCGCTCATAAAGGTAGTTTTCCAGCACAGGAGGCTGCACAGAGACAGGGGCCAACAGGGGCCAAAAGGCACTGAGCATCTAACAACATGCTTTGTGTCCAAAAGGAGCAGCAGTTCAGACTCTGTCTGCTCCTGACGAGCCTCAGCGCACTAAGAGACAGGCCATCTCTGCAGAGCCGTCAGCGCTGGACCCTTCCCAGCTCACGGACGTCACCCTCACCAGCTACAGCAAGACCAGAGAGTGAGTGCAGGACCCAGCACAGCAGGGGTCAGCGGCTAACATCAGCTGCCACCTGTACCAAGACATCGGTACAGGTCATGAGCATGTCACGTCATTTATAAGTGCAAAGTGCCGACAAAGGTGCTGCAGTTTATGTTACTGTAAAATTGGATGCATCAACAACAAGTCACAGCTAAAGTGTGTGTGTGTTCTGTGTGTCACAGCTGACAGGTCGTCCTCTCTCGTCAACGGGGACCTGGTCCATTAGGAGGGTACAATGAAATGTTTTAATGATGCGTTAACATTTATTCATCTAATGTCAAACCAAAACTGTGAAGCAACATCATCCCTGCACTTTCTGATGGACAAACTCCCGCCTGTCCAAACGTCTGTGTGTTTTAATGGAGGAGCTTTTCAAAGGTTCATTCACACAAACACACACGGACAAAAGCCAAACATTTTTCCTCACATACTAGTTTTGGAAAGCAAAGTTTTTCACATGTAGTTTCCTTTTTTCATCTTCTGAGTTTTAGCAGGAAACTTCGACCCTGACCCATAAATGTGCTTTCACCTCTTTGCTGCTTTCACTCAGTGGCCTTGTGATGTTCATGTTAGTGAGGAGAGATAGAGCACATTTAAAAGCTTTAAAGAAATCTCCCCACCAGATGTCTGAGTAATTTGAGTTCAGAGTTCAGGAGAAGAGCGTGTACATGAGGGAAAGACGAAAAATGAAGGAAAGATGTGGAAAACCCAGTGAAAGACTTTCCCTTTAATCTTCTCTTATCATGAGCTTTAAAGCTGCAGTGAACAGTATTTTTATATTAACAACACATCAAATGACAATGTGTAATGTGAAAGAGGTCGCCTGCAGCGAGGAGCCCACAGAGAATCATCATAAACCTGCAAGTTTTATCTTTCATTCCAGTGTCTTCAGCTCAGTGTCGGGTCATGTTTGCTGCTCCACGCTCCAAACAGCCGCTGCCCACTACCTGCACTACATCAACACACTGTATGTCACTGGCTGTGATGTCACAGTTATCATGTTGTTATGTTACAAGGTGCTCGTCACTGTCACTTACACAAGCCTGTCATTTACATCCTTCTGAGGGAACCTGAGCCTGCCTGCAGACAAAATGGCCGACCTCGGCAGGAAGCAGCTGATATTAGCTGGACATTGTTCAGCTAGGCAAGCTAAGGGCTACGGCTAACTCTGACCACTGCCCGGTGTCTGGCTGAGGTCACAAGCCGCCATCATAGTCCGCAGCCTGGTCCCTCTCAAACCCCAAGCATCTGCTGGGGCCCACACTCAAACACGACATGCTGAATGATGTGACTTGAAAACTGGCTTGACATCACTGAACAGGTGGTCGTCGTATCGGGCAACCTGAAGTCAGTGTTTGCTCTCAGTCCGTCTGTCCTTCTCTGTGTGTCTGTAGCTCTGACTGACATCAAGCTCTGGGCCATCGACCGACAGGGTTTCCAGACCATCATGATGAGGTCCGGACTCATCAAACATTCCCAGTACACAGACTTCCTCCGCAGGTACAGCTCACGTACACACTCAGCGCCTCACTGTTATCAGGTGCTCACCACATGAGAATGACTCACATCTCACTCTCCTCCCAGCGTTCCCTCCTTTCAGAGGCTGCCCGAGGATGTTCTCAGCAAACTGGCTGATGTCTTGGAGGAGGTGATGAGCTCCAAACTCTTTTCTATTCTAAACTCACACACTATCTGTTTGTGCCATCTGTTCCTGTAGCCGACAAATATAGCTTGTCAGACAGTGTTCAGTAAATTGAGGTGTTGTGTATGAAGCACATTAATCCCTCTGCTCGCTCTCAGACTCATTACAGTGGTGGTGATTACATTATCCGTCAGGGAGCCACCGGAGACACATTCTTCATCATCAGTGAAGGACAGGTGAGGAAGAGGGATGAAAGAGGGTGTACACGGCCGGAGTGTGACCTCGGTGGCCACACTGGTGGTCTTGCATGTTAAAACTTGACTGCAGAGCTGTGTCCTGTGTAAACATGGCGGCAGCGGAGTCGCCAAGCCACTCTTTAATTTGCAGACATTTACAAGAGAAGCTATGACAACCACACAAATCACATTGTAGGAAATGACGCAGACATGTTTTGCCCTGAACTGTACACCAGCTGTGAGCCAACATAGCACGTTGGCAACACAGGATGATTCAGGCTGGATTAATAAAATTTGGGCCTCATCAAGCAGCAGCCTCCACGAGGGAGGTGTGCTAGAGGGTTTCAGTGAGCTAGTACTCAGTCCCAGTGCTTGTTTGAGGATCCCTGGCTCCAAGAGGAAACCATGGCACCAACTGGAGCTGCAGCTCTGGACTTCACACCTGCTCCAGAGCAAACTGATGGGTGTCGGCCTACAGTCTGTGGTTCGAGGTTGAGCTCCACCCCGACCCAGGGCCTGATACTACAGGCCACAGCTGTGCACTGCTGCTTCGTGGAACTGCAGCATTTCTGCCACTGATCCACTGAGAAAACTTGTTATAGGAAGAAACAAACTCCATTTCAGTCCAACACAAAAATCAATTAGCAGAGTCCTAGAATTCTCTCATGAGACACCATTCATTACGGTGAACGATCAGCCACAAAGATTGCTTTGTTTTATTTATCCCTCAGTCTCACGATTATGAATCAGGGAACGTTTCAAACTATGGTGGCGCACGAACAGAGGCTGAGAATGACTTGTGGTGAGATGGTACCTAAAGGTTTGCCCTGGAGAACGAGCAGCAGTGAAGTGGAGCTGACAATCTGACATGTTCCACTGAAGGACATTCATGTTCTTTAGTGGAACGTGTGTGTGAGCATGATGCCACTGCTTCACAACACAGACAGGAAATGTAACGGTCTCTAAAGGCTTCTATGCATCCAGACATTTAATCATTTGTGATCTCCGCAGGTGAACGTCTCACAGCAGAACCCAGGCAACGACGAGCTGATGACTGTGAAGACTCTTTCTGAAGGGGACTGGTTTGGAGAGCAGGCGTTGGAAGGGTGAAGCACACACACACACACACACACACACACACACACCTGAACACGCAAACATAAATGACAACAATCCACTGATAGTTCATACTTCACATTTATACATACAGAGTAAGGCCGGCGATGTTCTCTGTGTGATTCCCCACAAACCCCGTTCAGAGACCAGGAAACACGGGAGGCTGAGAACGGCGTCACCGTGCACAGAGTCACTGGTCTCTGCTCTGTTTGCACTGCTCCGCCAGCTTCCTAACCCTAATACTAACCCAGACCAGGGCGGTGGAGCCATGCATACTAAGCCCTCATTTGATTTAAAGGCCCGTTTCTTTCCTTCCTTTGCAGTAAGGACGTCTGCACAGCCAGCGTCACAGCTGTGGGAGACGTCACATGTCTGGTCATCGACAGAGAGTGAGTGAATACCGGCTTTCATCCGATGCTGGACTCGGCCTCTACAGGC